AACAATGCCAGAAAGGTTAGAGGTGAAATGATTGGGTTAAGAAGTCTTAATCTAACCAGTGCATTAATCCTGATTGGGAGTAACAGAATAGGAACTGTAGGTAGGTAGTGTGTGGCTGGAGAAGCTGGGTTGATCCAGGCATTCCAGGCATACCCGTGGGATTTATATTTTGTCCATGGTGAGGAGAGCACGTGGGCAAGCAACGCTCCCTCTTTCTCTCCCCCCACCCCTTGATTCCTGGTGGGATGTCCTGAGCTACTTTCCTCCTCCACGACTTTTTCACCTTAATGTTCTGCCTCACCTTAGGCCCAAACCAACAGAGTCAGCCATCTATGGATTGAGACCTCCAAAATCCTGAGCTCCAAAATAAATTTTTCCTCCTATAATTGTTCTTCTCAGGTTTTTTGGTAATGTCAGTGAAAAACTGGACTAAAACATACTGGAGAAAAGACAGACTTTTTAACAAATGGTGCTGGGAAAAGTGAATATCTATATGTACAAGAATGAAATTAGATCCATATCTTTTACCTGCACAAAAATCAAATCAAAATGGATCAAAGATTTATAAGTTAGAGCAGAAATCTTACAGGTGCTATGAGATACCATTAAATTAACAAGCTTCTGCACAGCAAAGAAAAGACAAGGATGAAGACAGCCAACAGAATGGGAAAAAATCTTGCCAACTACTCCTCTGACAAGAGGTTAATATCCAGAATACATTAAAAATTTTTCAAAAACCTCAATGCCAGTGGGCGTGGTGGTGCACACCTGTAATCCCAGCAGCTCAGGAGGCTGAAGCAGGAGGATCACAAATTCAAAGCTAGCCTCAACAACTTAGCAAGGTCTTAACCAACTCATTGAGACCAGACCCTCTCCCTAAATAAAATACAAAAATGGGCTGGGGATGTGGCTTGATGGTTATGTGCCCCTGGGTTAAATCCCTAGTACCAAACAAACTAACTCAATGCCAGAAAAATAAATAACCAAATCAACAAATGGGCAAAAGAACTAAACAGAAATTTCTAAAAAGAAGAAACACAAATACCACAAAGATGTTCAACATCTCTAGCAATCAGGGAAATGAAAATCATCAAAACTACTTTAAGGTTTCATCTCACTCCAGTAAGAATGCCAATTATCAGAAATATGAATAAAAATAAATGCTGGTGAGGATGTGAGGGAAAGGTACATACATACATTGTTGGTGAGACTGCAAATTAGTACAATTACTTTCGAAAGCAGTGTAGATATTCCTCAAAAACCTAGAAATGGAAGCACCATGTGATCCATTTATCCCACACTTAGCATCTAACCAAAAGAACTAAAATCGGAATACTACAGCAATATAGTCACTACAATGTTTATAGCAGTACAATTCACAATAGTCAAATTATGGAATCAACCCAGATGCCCATCAACAGATGAATGGATAGAGAAAATGTGGTATATATACACAATGGAGTTTCACTCAGCCATAAAAAAGAATGAAATAATGGCATTTGCTTTTAAATGGATAGAAATAGAGAAAATCATGCTAAGTGAAAAAAGCCAGACTCGGAAGATCAAGGGTCAAATGTTTTCTTTCATATGAAGAAGTTAAGGCAAAATTAAAAGAAAGAAGTGGGAGGAAGAGATCACAAAGATACAGAGAACATCAGAGGAATAAAAGAAAAAGGAAAAAGAGAAAAAGGGAGGGGAGAGAAATATGAAATTAATCTAACAGAATCATGTTATATACATATTAAATGTACCAAAGGGAGTGTCTTTTACGTACATGTAAAAAAGTACCAACCAAAAATTAATAAATAAAGGTGTAAAAGGAAGATCAGTGGGGTAGAGGAGGGAAAAGAGAAGGAGGTAAGGGTATAAGAAAGAGGAGAAATGGGGACCAATCAAATTCCTTGTATGTATAATTATGTCAAAAGGAACCCAGATACTATGTATCAATATAATACTCTAAATTTTAAAACTTTTTTAAATCATATGTACACACATATCCAAACATGTGTATCTGTATATGTACTGTGTATTCATAGCCTAATACTGCACAATATACAGTTTTATGCATGCTACACACTGCTATATATTGTTCATGGATGGAACTATATGACTTAATGGAGAGGGTATCATGAATGAGTATGACAATGTACTAAATTCAGAATAATGATTGCTCATAGGTAAAAAGAAAGGAAAATAATATCAGAGTTCAACTACATATGTGATGCTTTGTTTTTTTAAACAAAATGTGAAGATTGGGAAATAGAATAGAGCTGGCATGCTGATTTTTGAATATTTGATATTTTGAATATTTTGAATATTGAATATTTAACATTTTGATATTTGAATATTTCAAATTTTTTAAAAAGAAGACCCCAAAAAATGATACTGCAACAATTCAGGAGAAATTACTTCACAAATTATCTAATTCTGAAGTGTTTAGCTAAGATTTTCTTTTACTTTTCAAATGTTACCTAGTTGATCCATGCTATTTCATAACTGTAAACTATCTGATTTCAAAATACACAATTGAACAGTGATTTAAAAAAAGCCCTGTGACAATACCAACAATATACATATAATACATTATTTTAAAAAATGAATAACTAAGTCCAAAAATGTGGTGCCAACATTGCGCCCTAATACCTGGTACCTACGAATATTATATTATTTGGAAAAAGGATCTTTACAGATTTAAGCTACAGATCTTGGAATGAAAAATTCCTGAATTACAGGTGGGTTCTAAATTCAATGAGAAGCATCCTTAAAAGAGAGAAGAAGGAATAAACATAAAAAAGAGAAGCCATGTGGAGACAGAGGCGTTGATGGAAAGATACAGTCACAAGTCAAAGAACACCTGGAACACCCAGGAGATAGAAGAGGCAAAGAACCTTTTTGAGAGTTAATCTGGATGGTCAACTTGATTGCATTGAGAGATGCCTAGGATTAAGAGAATTCTAGGTTCATCTATGGTTTCCAGAGACCAATCATCCGCACATAGGACAGCAAACTGAGTGGGGAGATCAGCCTTGAATGTGGGTGGCACCATCCAATAGGCTGTGAGGTAAGAAGACAACACAATCAGAAAAAGAGAAACCTATGGCAGATGCAAGTTCAATTCTTCTTGAGTGGGTGTGTCTACTGCTGCTACCAACTGACTGAGGACATCAGACTCTAGCTCCTTCACTTTTCTAATGTGGACTCTAACCAGCAATTCTTCAGGGACTTTTCAGGCCTTCAGGTTAGACATGGGCTGTTTTATTGGTCCCTCTTGTTCTGAGGCTCCAGCTTCTTGAACTGAGCAGCTACTGGTTGCTTTGGTTCTCTAGCCTACAGACTGCCATTATGGGACTACCAGCTTCTGATCATGTGAGTTGATTCTAATATATCCCCTTCTGTGAGAACCCTAATACAACTTTCCAGCCTTCAGAGGGAGTGTAGCCCTGAAAACATCTTCATTTCAGACTTCTGCCTTCTAGAACTCTAAAAGAATAAACTTTGTGGCTTTAAATTGCCAATCTTGTGATCATTGGTTATGGCAACTTCCCAAACATTCCCCTACTAATTCAACTACCTAACATACATAGCACCTACCACGGACTTCACCTGCTCCACAATTTCCTCCTACATCCACTGAGCTCCTCCTATACTCTTTCCTGAGTCCCTACCCTTAGAGGCTATGTGTGTAAATATCTATAATCTGTTCTGAAACTTCAATCTTCTACAGCAAAAGTGAGTTTGTACCATTTTTGCTGTTATCTACCGGAATTCAGGAGTGGCTAAATAAAAGAGCACCATCCACAAAATTACAGTGTATGAGTGAGAAGACAACCACTACTGAGCCTGCTCTTCCAATAAGAAAAAGGAAATACACACACACACACACACACACACACACACACCACTACCCTTGGGCAATAGTTATATAACAAAGAAACCCAAGAGTAAGTGATATTATTGAAGTACAGTATCTGGTTAAGGGAAACTACAGACTTTGGAAGAAAATATAACATGATGTGATTATAAAAATCAATCTAATTGTGGGGTTGGGGTTGTGGCTCAGTGGCAGAGCACTTGCTTCACACATGTGAGGCACTGGGTTCGATCCTCAGCACCACACAAAAATGAATAAACAAAATAAAGATATTGCATCCGTCTATAAGTAAAAAATATTTTTTAAAAAAATCAATCTAATTGAAATGTGGTGGTTGTATTAAAAGATGTTTATAAACCTAAGATCAGTTCACAAATGGTTTTTTATCTTATCTAACTACACAAAATCAGAAATAATAGGATTATGCAGAAATTCTGACAGCTGATACTCCACTGCTTTCAGCCACCCAAATCTCCAAGATCCCTGGGAATTGTGATATCACCCTCTAACCACAGTTCCGGATGGGCTGCAATGCTCTTGCTCTACTGATAAAGAAGCATCTGTACATCCCAGCATGGGAACACAGGAGAGTAATGTAGAAAAAGAGAGCAAGAAATAGCTGGTGGAACAAGGGCAGATGTTCCCAGCTAGAGGCCAGAATAGGGCCTACAAGAAGACAGGCAGTGGGAGAACCAGGGTTTCTACCACAGAAAAAAGCAGTGGTAGAAACCATACAGGAAAGGACTGGAGATTCAAGAGCCAGTTTCTATATTTGCTCAATATTCAAAAGAATCAACTCAAGTGGACAAATGACCTTCAGTCAACACTACTAAAATCATAGAGCAAACTGCTTATAAATTAATATTCTGCTTTTTTACTATTACAGAGCATGTCTTAAAAACTGAAAGCTCATCTCTCCCTCAAAATCCAAAACTTATGAGCAAATCCCAACTGCTCTACTTATAAAACATACCCCAAATCTAGTTCTCTCTTTTCCATTATTACCACCACAGTCCAAGCTGTAATTTTTTTGTCTAAATTAGCAACAACTTCTACTTGAGCTCCTGATTTCCACTGCCTAGCAGAGACAGAGATATTTTCAAACTCTAAGGAAGATCATATCACTCACCTGTTTCAATTACTCCAGACACAGTAGTGCTCTGGTGCCTGCCAGTCTCCTCTCACTTTCTTCAATTCCAACCACAAGGGTTCTCCATCCAGTTCTGCTGTAGACCTCATTCACTTCTTCTCCAGGGACTCTTGTGTTCAGTATTCCCACACCAGAAGACCCTGATTTTTACCCAGAAGCCTCTTCATCCAAGTTAGTTTAATGTCCTACCCTCCCGGAGGCCTTGCCTATCCATACAAACAACTCTTCTTAACCGCTTGCCAGTCCTTACCTTTCATCATTAGAAAGTGCCTCAAGACTACACTTCCTTAATCAGCTCCCCAACATTCGTCTTCATTCTTTTTATAACTCTATAACATTTCTGGCTGAATGAGAAACAAATGATTCTCAACACTGAGATATTTTATGAAGTGAAGACTATTATGCAACAATCTAGCAGAAGTCTAACACCAACCATTGGTTGCAGGGGTGGGAAATGGAGACATGCCAAGAACAGTGGCACACGCCTGTAATCCCAGAAGCTTGGGAAGCTGAGGCAGTGGCTCAGTGGTTAAGCTTCCCTAAGCTGAATACCTGGTACAAAAAAAAAAAAAATGGGGACATCTACACTCAACAGAATACCAGGCAGTCCTAAAAAAAGATGACAGAGGCACATTTCATACAGATTGTGAATTACGTAACATATAAAAACTTTTTATTCCAAAGTACAAAACAAAAATTAAAAGCTCATCTCTTCATTGAAATATATATAATAAGCTACCATTTCTATTTTTAAGGAGGTAAAGGAAATATATAATAATTATACACACACACTTGCCAGTGCTTAAAATATCTCTAGGTATTTTAAACAATTAAATTTCTTTTGAATTTTGAACCATTTGAATATCTCAACTCTTCAAAAATAATTTTAAATTTGAAAATAAGAGATTACAATGAAAAACATGTATTCTGAAGAGTACCAATGAGTCACAATGTGTTTTTCAAAAGAGAAACCACTAAAAGGCAGCTATTCTTACCATCTTAATTTTGTATACTCACAATCTGGATGACAAAAATACTGTCAGCAGAAAAAGAATACATTGTTCAATGGTTCTGACAAATCTTATTTGAAGCTTTTTAAGAATTTTAAGTTAGATTTCACCAAATGAGTTAACTCTCTTCACATTTAGAAGGCAATATTTCTTACCTATATATAAATCTTATCTATTTCAGCTTAAAAAATACTTACTCGTATTACCGAAACCATACAACCAATCTATAGTATTCCATATCCAACTTCTGAAATCACTAGTAAGACAGTTCATATTTTTAACTGGAAAAAAATAAATCAGCCTTATTTGTTTTTTGGAGTACAGAGTCTCCACTTGCTATCTAATGAAGAACTTTGGTAGGCAGAGGGCAGGAGTGCTTGGTGTTAAATAGCCAAGTATTTATCTATCAAATCACCTGTAATTTCTACTCAAATGGAACATCTTCCTGGAGGGTCAATTTTAAACACTGTTATATTTACATAAAATGAATATATTATGATACATAAATTATATAAAAGATATGGGTATTATAAAGATAAATACGAAATTTCAAAAAATTCAGAGCTATTTAACTCCAGGTGACTTAGGTATAGCACAGCGAAAAGTTTATAACTTGTTAGCCAACTATCAGCTGGATTTTTTTCTAGTTTTGTAAAAATGTATACAAATGAGAAAATAAGATTCTACTTACCAAGTCTTTATTCTTAACCTTAAAACCAATGCTGGTAACCAATCACCTTTATTTTTATATACACAGAAACCAAGAGAATACATTGTTTTCATACACATAAAGCATACATTCTTCAGGTGGTTTAGGGATCAAACCTAGGGCCCCATGCATGCTAAGCAAGTGCCTCTTGAGCACCTTCTCCACTGTTTTGGTTAGTTTTTTCAAGTGACTTCCTCTAAACAAACACTGACTGCTACCTTTTTGACTGCTTTCCCTGCTATTATTTTCCAGTGCTATACATTTTAGTACAGTACTATAGCTCTAATGGTACTTCTGTTGCAGCAGCTGCCATCAGTATACTGCTGTGTATAGTGCTTGAGAGAGCAAACTATCAAAAGAATTCAATATTTGCATTTACGTTTGCACAAATCCTAATGAAATTTGCAAAATTCCTGCACAGGTCATTCTGGATGATTCTAAGGCAAAATTAAAATTAACTGTTTCTCATATTATTTCCTCAATGTCTAGTGCATTTTCTCACCCACTGATTCTTCTTAACCATTTTTTTAACACAGAGCAGAGAAAGGAGTAGGATATCAAGAGTCAATGGAAGTTTCTAAGTAGTTCCTTTTCTATAGGTAATGACCAGAATACTGCCATTAAGTGTTATTATATCAAATAAGTTGTAAACAACTGGGTGTTTTTTATCTGTCATTATTGCAGCATTGTTTTCATAAGACCACTATGTACATCTTATTGACTCTTAATTCATATTCAGAAGACTCAGGAGAAATAATGTTTTTTTCCTTCTTGTTGCCTCTTGGTTTATTAAAATCTGTATTTCATGCAATGAAGCTAGTTATCTCACCTGAGAGACACAACATTATAAAAACATCTAAGGAGTATAACTACACCAAAAAAAGAGAAACCAAGGAAAAAATAATAAAAACCTTAAGAAACGTAAAGATTACCTAATAAAGATATCTACTCAAAAAGTAAAAAACTCAAAAACTGTAACATGATTTCATTTCACTAAACCATATTGTGTGTTTAGCTCACACTAAGATCCATAAGATATTCAAACACAACCATAGTATAACTTTTTAAATGCAGTTACAATTCACCAGGCTTGGTGGTGCATGCCTGTAATCCCAGCAACTCAGGCACCTGAGGAAGGAGGTTTGTAAGTTTAAAGCCAGCCTCAGCATCTTAGTGAGACTCTAAGCAACTTAGTGAGACTGTGTCAAAATAAAAATTAAAAAGGACTAAGGATGTAGCTCAGTGGTTAAACAACCCTGGAATCAATCCCTGGCACACACACACACACACACACACACACAAAAATGCAGTTACAGGCTGGAGTATGGTGGTAGGTTCCTGTAACTTTAGAGGCTGAGGCAGAAGGCATATAAACCTTGAGGCCAACTGGGGCAACTTAACCAGACCCTGTCTCAAAAAGCAGGTGAGAACAGGGGCTGGGGATATAGCTCAGTGGTAGAGTGCTTGCCTAACATGTATGAAGCCTAGCATGTATGGAAATTATAGAACTTCAAAAATATACAACTTAAATTTTTTTAATTTTTAAAAGCAGAATGATGTCTCATTCTCATATTAATAAGTATTGTTTTAGATGACACATTAATACAAAATTAGGTGCTTACTAAAATAAAAATGCAAAACAAATTTAGCTTTAAATAAACTTTATATAGTTAATTTCCCAAAATAAGAGCAAAGAATAATAAAAAAAAAAATCACTGAATTCCTAATCTACATGAATTATTTATAAAGAAATTACTAAGGCTGGGTACAGTGGCTTACACCTGTAATTCTGGCTACTTGGGAGGCTAAGGCAAGGAGGATCACAAGTTCAGTACCAGCCCCCGCAAATTAACAAGACCATGCCTCAAATAAAATTTAAAAAGGGGTGAGGATGTACTCAGTAGTAGAGTACCTGGATAGCATGGGTGAGACCCTGTTTAATCCTCAGTACCACAAAAAAAAAGAAAGTAGCCAGGTTTCATGAAAACTGAATGAATTCTTAAATGTAAACTAATATTGCTAAATGCTTTTGGAAAATTAGAATACATAACAATTATCAAACTATAAAAACACATGCACTCAGTAGTCCATGCATATAAATACTATGCCCCATTTATTATATACCAACTATATGATACATATATGTTCATAATTTAATTCACATACCAACACTGTATGGAAGCCAGGTAATATCATTCCCATTTTACTCATTAGGAAAACTGACTCAAAAAAGATTAAGTAACTTCTTTAAAAATCATGACACTATCTTTTTTTTTTTAAGCTGTAGGTGAACACAACATCTTTATTTCATTTTTATGTGGTGCTTGCTGAGGATTGAACCCAGTGCCCCACACATGCCAGGCAAGCACTCTACCACCACAACCCCAGCCTCATGACACTATTTTTTTAAAAAAGGAGCCAGATTCAAATGTATGTAATGACAGCAAGGAACACTGTATTTGCTATGTTTGTTATTCAACCACATTCATATAGTTCTATGACATTTGGAACTGAGATTCTGAACATGTGTGAAAACTTGGTTTATATAAAATCTGCTTAAAGACTGAAACTTCTAAATAAATATTATATGGCCTAAAAAATTGTAACTTTGAAGAAAATCATATGAGACTAAGACCACAATATTAACCAGAGGGCTACAAAACAACTGACTGCCTTTTTATATGTAGACTATATTTTAAACACACACAGTAAACAAACACAATTAAGATTTTTACATTACAAGGAAATATTATTTTTACAAATTTTAAAGCTCTAAAATATTAATATAGCTTATTAAATAGTAAAAGATGACTTTCCTACTTTCTATGTGGTCCTTCTACCTCCAACCTTTGCCCTTTAACAGAATGATATTTTTTTTCTTCTTTTTTTTAGTTGTTGATGGACTTTATTTTATTCATTTATTTATATGTAGTGCTGAGAATCGGACCCAGTGCCTCACACACGCTAGGCAAGCATTGTACCACTGAGCCACAACCCCAGCCCAGAATGATATTCTTTTATTTCACTTAGAATGATAGTTTTATAGTTAACATCTTTCTGTGTTAAGAGATCAGCAATCTACTGCATAACTTTGTTTATTCCTCATAGCAGGTCTAGAAGGTAGGTACTATCATTATTCTCATTTTGCAGATGAGTAATCTCAGGATTGGTCAGATTACCTAAATTAGCCAGGGTGAGATAGCCAGGAGGTGACCCAGGAGAAATGACTCCCAATATCATGCTCCTAACTACCATCACACCAACCACTTCTTAGTCAACCTAGGGTAACCTCCCAAAAATACAAACTGGATGATATCAGCTCTGATAGAATAAAATGACTTCAAGTGCTTTCAACCACTCACAAAATAAGAGTCCAAATTCCTTAACACATTAGACATAGCATCATCTTCAATTAAACCCTCTCATCCCACATTATTACCAACATAGACTTCCAGTCATCTTCCAAATATGTTCTATGCTATTCCACCTGTGTCAACTTAAATTAATTAATTAACCCATAAAATCCTTCCTTCCATCCTTGATCTGCTGAAAACAGTCATCTCTCTAAAATCAATTCAAATGCCACTCTTTAAGAAATTTTTTCCAAATACCTATAACACTCACAATTGTTTTTTGTGGTACTAGAGATTAAACCAAGGGGCACTTTATATTCAGGAAGGGTCTTACTAAGTTGCTAAGGATCTCATGGAGTTGCCAAGTTGGTCTCAAACTTGCAATCCTCCTGCTTCAGGAGAAAGTAGGAGAGTTATTTTTTATTTGTTGTTTGTAGATATACATGATAATAGGGTATATTTTGACATACATACATGGAGTGCAACACATTCCAATTAGGATCCCATTCTTGTGGTTGTACACGATGTAGAATTACACTGGTCCTGTATTCATGTATAAGCACAGGAAAGCTATATCCAGTTCATTCTACTGTCTTTCCTATTTCTATCCCCCTTCCCTTCCCTTCATTCCCCTTTGTCTAATCCAATAAACTTCTATACTTCCCCTCTCTACCTTCCCTTGTTATGGGTTAACATCCACATATCAGAAAGAACATTCAGCCTTTGGTTTGGGGGGATTGGCTTATTTCACTTAGAATTATAGTCTCCGGCTCCATCCATTTACTGGCAAATGCCATTATTTCATTCTTCTTTATGGCTAACATTACATTGTGTGTTATATACCACATTTTCTTTATCTATTCATCTGTTGAAGGGCACCTAGGTTGGTTCCACAGCTTGGCAATAGTGAACTGAGCTGGTATAAATATTCATGTGGCTGGGTCACTTTAGTATTCTAAGTTTTGGGGGCATAAGCTAATGAGTGGAATAACTGGATCAAATGGTGGTTCCATTCTAGATTTTCTAAGGACTCTCCATACTACTTTCCAGAGTGGTTGCATCAATTTGCAGTCCTACCAGCAATGTATGAATGAACCACCTTTTCCCCCACATCCTCGCCAACATTTATTGTTATTTGTATTCTTGATAATTGCCATTCTGACTGGAGTGAGGTGGCATCTCTGTGTCGTTCTAATTTGCATTTCTCTAATTGCTAGAGATGTTGAACACTTTTTCATGTATTTTTTGATCATTCATATTTCTTCTGTGAAGTGCCTGTTCAATTCCTTTGCCCTATTGATTGGATTGTTTGGGGTGGGGTTTTTTGTTTTGGTGTTAAGTTTTTGGGAGTTCTTTGTATATCCTGGGGATTAATGCTCTATCTGAAGTGCAGGTGGTAAAGGTTTTCTTCCATTCTGTATGCTCTCTATTCACATTCTTGATTTTTTTTCCTTTGCTTTGAAGAAACTTTAGTTTGATACCATCCCATTTATTAATTCTTGATTTTACTTTTTGACCCTAGGAGTCTAATTGAGGAAGTCCATTTCTAAGCCAACATGATGAAGAGTTGGGCCAACTTTTTCTTCTAGTAGGCACAGGGTCTCTGGTCTAATGCCTAGGTCCTTGATCCACTTTGGTTGAGTTTTGTGCAAGTTGAGACACAGGGGTTCAATTGCAATCTACTGCATATGGATTTTCAGTTTTCCTAGCACCACTTGTTGAAGAGGCTATCTTTCCTCCTATATGTGTTTATGTTTCATTCTACTATATATGGATTTCCAGTTTTCCCAGCACCATTTGTTGAAGAAGCTATCTTTTCTCCGATGTATGTTTATGGTGCCTTTGTCTAGTATGAGACAACTGTATTTATGTGGGTATATCTCTGTGTCTTATATTCTGTTCCACCGGTCTTCAAGTCTATTTTTGTGCCAATACCATGCCACTTTTGTTACTATAGCTCTGTAGTATAATTTAAGGTCTAGTATTGACACACAGTTATGTTTAAGATAGCTTCTTCCCCTGGAAGATCACATAACATCTTTGTAATTTCTCAGACCACTGTAATTCTATGTTGTCTGTAAAAATTTCTTCTCTCACCTCATGAAGTCCAAGGCAGGAACCATTATTTATAATCTCCATTTCCTACAAATTAAGTGCACATAACTTGTTTGTAGAATTAAGTCTAAGCATAAATATTAAGTTTTTAATGTCTGTATCTCACTTTCCAATTCTATTTATTAAGGATTTTATCCTGCAAACGGATTTCCCCTATTAGTGGCCAACAACAGGTAAAATTAACAGAATCAAACTCTTTCCTATTCAGAAGCGAGTATATACCAGCATCACTAGGTTTGAAATACTTGGACACTATTAAGTTCCTGAAACATCTCTTTACAGATAATATGCTTTCTATCTTTCCCTGAATGAACCTTCTTGAAAATACAGCTGTGCAATTCTGTTTAAAGACAGGAGCTACAATTTGTCTAGCAATTTGTCTTTTTATAATACTAGTTTTTATTGTTAACACAGTACTAACCTTGAAACAACTAAGATTGTACTGAAAGTAGCATTTTTTAAATTTATGACAGAAGAAAAGTTCTTGACCTAATTTAAATGCTTCCTTTAATAAAGAGAGGCAAAGCAAATCCACTAGGAACCTGGAGGGCACTAATCCCTCAATGAATCCATCACTTTCCTTCCCCATTACTGCCCCTCCTCTCTAATCTCTTCCCTGTGACCCCTCCAGAATTTTTACAATACAAATAATTTCCCCTAAGCTCTCAGCTTCCTTAAAGAATCCAACCCCACTCTGGCCTTACTGGTGACCAGACAGGCAAGACTCTTGGTAACTATATAGTTGTTTCGAATGACAGTGATTACTGCAGACTCTGGAGTCTGACTGCTAGAGATTCCACTTCCAATTCTAGCACTTACTAGGTATGTGAACTTGGGGCGGAAACTTTCTAGTCAAACTAACCCACATGCTGTTCCCACAAACACACCCCCAAAATTTCCTCTCTTTAAATTCCCACTGAAATGACCCTTCCATAACTGTGCTATCCTTCCTTGAGCAGGCCTATCATTTACTTTTCTATAAGTCTTCCTGGTGTCTTCCACAAATTCTCACAGTACCTAACTTACTCTTCTCATAGAACATTTGTATTACTTTATGGCATACTTACTTTCACTTGAAGTATTCTTAAGGGCCAAGACTATCCTATTTATCTCAAAATTCCTTGAAATACATGTCATAGGGCCTTAAGTGTTAAAGATTTGTGTAAATAATTAGATTAGTTGGATTTTCTTCTTTCTCCCAGGTCCCAAATGCTAAAGCATGAAATTTACATTTTCTTTGATATTTACATATATGTATGTGTGTATGTATGTGTGTGTGCAATAGGGGGAAGGGTTTGCTGGGGATCTAACCCAGGTTCTTGTGCTTGCTACACAAGCACTCTACCACAAAGCTACACACACCATCCTCTATTTTTGTCTTTATAAGAAACTATTATGCAAATCTTTTCTTTTACATGAATTAATTAAAAAGTTTGAGTCTGCAAACGGCAATTTTGTGTAAATTTTAATGACAGCATTTAAAAGGAGCATTCCTGCAGAAATCTGGGAAATCAAATGACAGGGCCGTGTAAAGCTTAACTTAGTGGTTCAGAACATGGGAGACACTCCTAAGTGAATTCTTGTTCCACTGTTTACCCACATTGTGACTTTGGGCAATTTATTTAATTTCTCTAACTTTTCCACACCCTGGAATCCTGACACCTCTAAATTGTAAGGAATAAATGAGATCATGTGCACAAAAAGCATATGTCAATACCTGACACATAGCTTACATTTAATAAAGGAACTTAAGAAAAACATTTTCTTAAACATTTTAATTAAGGGATATAGGTCCATGGTAATTTACACTTCATTAAAATTTCATTAGATTTTCTTTTGCATGGAAAAGCAAGGGGAAAAAAAATGACATCTCCAGAACATAGTCAATTTTGATACTGTACATGTTAAACAAATTAAATATTCTGATGAATTTAGTTAAAATAAAGCCTATGTACCAAGCTCTTACATAAAGGCCCTTCAAAGTAATTAAGCCAAAAATAATTTTGGCTTAATTACTAAATAATAAAAGAGCCAATAACAGGAGCTGGGATTGTGGCTTAGTGGAAGAGCACTTGCCTAGCATGTTTGAGGCACTGAGTTTGATTCTGAGCAACCTCATATAAATAAATGAATAAAATAAAGGTCCATCAACATCTACAAAAAAATATGTATTTTTTAAAAAAGAGCCAGTAACCACCACCCCCCCAAAAAAAGTATGGCTTCTCCATAGTTTTAACTCAAATTTAACTCAATGAAGTCTAAATGAACTAATGCTTAAATATAATAAACCAAGAACTACCATTAAAAGCATCACATTTAGAAACAAGGTGCTAAATCTCAGTGGAGAAAAGCTAAAGGAACTATGAACATGGTTACTTCCACAGATAGAAATAGGAAAGAAAATGTGGCTATGTTAGATGAGATGAAACAGGCTCAGGAGACCACTGTTTCCTTTAAAAGCCTTACAGTACTACTGTTTTTTACAATTACATGTAAGATTTGGTTGACAAAAATACAAAGTAATTATAAAAGAAAGTTTACAATCACAATTGTTTCACACATAGGGCCATGATTAGGGTGAGACAAGCCAGGCGCCCCGTATGCAAAAGTAAATATTTTTTCAGTGTTGGAGATGGTACCTAGAGTCTCATGCATGCCAGGTAAGTACTCTACCACTGAGTTACATCTCCAACCCAACAAACGTTTTTTGAAAAACTGAATGAACAAATGGAGAAACAAAAACAGTCTTTCCATTACCCATCTCTGCTTCCTTCACCAAACCACTCTGTAGTTATTCAGTCTTCCTAAAACTAGTTCTTATCAGGTCTTTCTACACAGTATGAAGGTAATTTTAATACTATATTTTTAGTGTGCCGGCATTTTGACTACAACCTACTACATGAGGTCAAGCATTCTGACTACAACCTACCACATGAGGTCAAGTGTGGAACTTTCAACTTGGGGCATCATGTTGGAGTTCAGGAAGTTTCAGGTTTGGGGATATTTTGGATTTTGAATTGGAAATACTCAACTTGTATAATCTTCCCTGTAAAAATAAGAAAACTAAGGCTGACAAATAATTAACTTACTCGAGTTGTAATACAAATCTTCAACTTGCATAAATCTGAAATTAACATTTCTATATACACGGTTAGTTCGTACAGTTCCTTACTTTGGACTATTTCATTAGTCTCTAAAATTATAACATTCAGTCATATAGTATAGTTGTTCTGATGGTTGTTCACAGTTATTTTTTATGCATTTTATAAAAGGGTTAACCATTTTATAAAGCCTCCAACCATGTATGAGGTTAACAATTTCACTGCCTCCTCATCAGATTGGCTCATCATCATTATTTTCCTATTTTAAGCAGGCAAATGATGATATGCATAATTCTTGATCTTAACTAACAGTATTTGGGCAGTTGTTGTTACAGTTATAAACAATGATATAACATATACTGTGCCTAACTAATTTATTGGAAGTTTTTTCATAACATTTACACAGATAAAAGAAAATCAAGCACTTAATCTACTCAGATATTCATTAAAGCTTTGACAACATTCCTATCATCCATTTAGTCAACAAACTATTATTTACAGCACACTAGAACAAGGTACTATACTAGTTCCTGGGCATAAACCAATAATATACAATCCCTGCCTTCAAGAAGATCACAGTTGGTTTTTGTTTTGTTTTGTTTTGAATATTTTTTTTAGTGTAAATGGGCACAATACCTTTATTTTATTTGTTTATTTTTATGTGGTACCACGGATCAAACCCAGTGCCTCACACATGCTAGGCAAGCACTCTACCACTAAGCCACAACCTAGCCCAAGATCACAGTTTTTTTAAATATCAAAGTCATCTTGAGCTTGCAGGAGTTGGTTCATGGATCAGAAATACTTCACAATGAAACACACAGATATAGAAAATAAACCAAAGAGGTTCTGGGAAAAAAATGAGACAAAGCAATAAACCACCACTTCAAAGAAACAGGGCAATACTTAACCTTATTTAAGGAACTAAGGGACATGAAAATCATGCTCTCCCATGGCACTGGGACTATTTTTAACCATAGGTCATTAGTGGCAATTGAATATTGAGATAAAACTTTTGGTATCATCCATTTTAGCAAATTCTCACTCAATCCTCTACCTCTGTGAGCATTCCAAATTAATTCTCCAGGGTGATCAATCGTAACACTGGGATAGGACTTTATAATATTGCCTCTGTTTGTGTTCTATCAAAGTTTATTTCTACCATAAACCATGTTACTAAAATGGATCTTATAAGAAAAGGAGTATAGCATATTAGCATTTGACGGTGGGTGACTTCACTTTCAGCTCAAAGACAGCATTTCCCACAAGGAGACCCTATTTTTCTCCTCACTAGTAAGATCTTCTATACTGAAGTGCTAGGGTTGAATCTTATTCATCATCCTCCTATAAGTCCAAAAAGCTTTAGCATCCAGCAAATGGTTAATAATGAACATGAAACTAAAACCAGCAACAAAACACTTATTACACAATTCTCAGAATTAAGCAGAAAATTATCACATTCCTGTGTAAACAAACCTTGGTTAAAGACCAAAGGTGTCTGTACATTAAAAATGCAAATGATGTGCAGATCCAGTTCTATTCATCATTCAAGGCAAGTTGCCAGAAGTCATAAGATTTTAAGTTGATTAATTAAGTTCATTCATAGTTTTATCTTCTCAAGCATTCATACTTCCTGTTTCATGACTTCAAAGTAACCTATGAGACTTTTTAAAAGATTTTAAAAAGACCTCACAAATAGCATACACACATCAAAGGAGGACAAATATAAAACTATTCTGACAATACTTCCTCCAGAAGAAAAATGTACCAATTTTACTAATCTGCCTTCAAAGAAATTTATCTTTAAAAATCAGTTTATTTCATCTTCCAATTTTACATTACAGGAAGAAAAAGACTTTCTTTCATAAAATACAAAAGACATGATACAGCAATTTTCCATCCATCTTTTGAAGGTCATCTTAACATACTAAAACTCTGCACAATTTATAAGCACAACCTTTGCATTCTGATAAAAGTGCTTTCTAGAAGATAAAAAATCTTGCAAACGCAAAATGGGAAAAAGTATGCATATTAACTACAAATAACAGAGTACTGAAGTTTTACAAAGAGAGACAAGGCATAGAGTGGGCTACACCCACTATGGGTCCTGAAATGAAACTGAGTTAATGAAATTTTTCTATTACTGTTTTATCCTATCTTCAGTTAAAATCAATTCTAAATTTACTTAATAAAAGCAATGTCACATACCCATAATCCCAGGTACTCAGGAAACTAAACTGGAGAAAAGAATTGCAAGGTCAAGACCAGACTGGGGGACTTTAGGAGACACTATCTCAAAAAAAAAAGCAGGGGGGGGGGGGAGGTGTAACTTAGTGGTAGAACATCCCTGGGGTCAATCCCTAGTACGACAAAAAACAACCCACGTTCCGCAAGTCATTTAGATCCAATTTGATCAAGTTCATTGAATCCAATTAAAAGGAAACTCTGAAATCTTATCTGATCCATCTCATTTTCTTTTAGTCTGTATAAACTTAACATTCTACAATATCTGCCTCACATCACTTTATACCAAGAATGACTGAATTCCTTGGGATGAGATTCAAATGTTTTTATGTCTTGACTCTCATTATCTTAATTTTTTTAAATTTGGATTATCTAAATATTTTAAATTTCCTTCAAGAATGACTGAATTCATTGGGATGAGATTCAAATGTTTTTATGTCTTGACTCTCATCTTAATTTTTTTAAATTTGGATTATCTAAATATTTTAAATTTCCTTCTAATCAAAATCTAAGTGAAAATCATTTTGCTATTTTTCACCAACACTTAAAGCATCTTTATAAGTAGCTCTCTTGCACCTAAATCACCTTTATCCTCCTCCTAAATTAATGAGAATATTTTCCTACCTTTGATTATTTCTTTTGATGTGGTATTACTATCTGGACTCTCTAAAATAAGATGTACTTGTAAAGCTCCTAACACAGAGCCCAGAATATGTGTCTTCAAAAATATGATTATCACTATTACTAGTTTCTTACATACTTTCTAAAATCTAGTTGAATCTTCCTTCTCCTCCATTTTTTGTACCTAACTCCTATCAATACTGCTGATAACTCAGGCTGAAGATAACCATGACCCTGAGATTTTTCTGCTGTATTATTCTTAGCCATATCCTTGAGTATTTAATTTTACTGTGTGCCAGACACTGTACATGAAATGTTACCTTATTTTTTTTTCCTGGTATAGGAATTGAACCCTGGGGTACGTTCTACCACAGAGCTACATTCCCAGCCCTTTTAAATTTTTTTTTTTTTTTTTTTTTTTTGAGACTGGGTCTCATTAAATTGCTGAGGCTGGCCCTGAATTTATGATCCTCCTGCCTCAGCCTTCCAAATTGCTGGGATTACAGGCATGCATCACCAGGGCCCACACAGTATACAGTAAATAAAGCAGACATGGTCTTTGCCCTTGTGGAGCTTGGAGTCCACTTGCTCTCTAACATGGTCATTTAACAAACCAAAGGGAAAACAAAATGTCAATCAAATTAGCTCTCATAATAAATGTGATACAAAGATGACAAGAATACACTGAATTAGATAAGGAGGTTAACTAACTTCCAACAGATAATGGAAACATTCAAAAGAGACCTACTCAAGAATTCCTTAAAAACAGCACAAAATTGCCTAGACAATCTACAATGAGCCAAGCAACTACAGAGGAACTTTGACTTACCATAGGATTATGTCCTGAGAAATGCACTTAAGTGAAAATATCACAAATTGAAAACACACATAATATACCTAACCTACCATATATATCATTACTTAGCTTCAGTACCTTAAACATGCTCAGAACACTTAGATTAGCCTACAGTTTGGCAAACTCATGTAAGACAAAGCTTATTTTATAACAAAGTGTGGAATATCTCATGAATACACACAGATGGGCATTTTTGTAGAAATGGTAGATTGTGAAAACAAAATACAATATCCAAAAAACTCTGGCAACACAGCAACTATGGAGTATAGCTTGTTTTGTTTCCCCTTGTGATCACATGGCTGACCAGGATATGCAGCTCCATGCTGATGCCCAGTATGGCAAAGAGTATCACACTACACACTGCTAGCCCAGGAAAAAATCCAAATTCCAAGTACAGTTTCTACTTAATGTATATCATTTTTGCCCCATTCTAAAATCGGAAACTGTCAAATCACCATAAATTGGAGATTATCTGTATATGACAAGTTAGAAAATAAAGACACTAGCTGGAGATATAGCTCCGTGGAAGATAAGTCCCTGGATTCAATTTCCAGTACTGAAGAAAAATATATATAGATAGATACTTACCGGTATATGTATCTACGCATAAAGACACTAATGAGAAAAACATTTTTTTGATCAGACTATACAACGGTAACATTTGTTTTCACTGAAAAGATAACATATTCAGGGGAGATTTGCAGCTTTTTAGTGGGGAAAAAAATCACATAACATAACAAAAACAAATATCAGAGTAGAAAAGAATTCAGAGGGATCAATCCCAAGGGATTTCAGTTACTGAAAGCACTATGAACTGGTATTAAAAGTGAGATTTCGCCAAGCCTACTGGCACACGCCTATAATCCCAGTGGCTCCGGAGCCTGAGGCAGGAGGATTGCAACTTCAAAGAGCCTCAGCATCTTATAGAGGCCCTAAGCAACTTAGTGAGGCCATGTCTCAAAATAAAAAAGGGATAGGGATATGGCTCAGTGGTTAAGTTAAATCCCTGGTACCAAAAAAACAAAAAAGCCTACGATTTCAGTAACTATCAGACACTTCAGAAATGAGATGTTGGTGCCAGGTCACAACTGCAGCCTCGAAGTGCAGACACTGCTGCTGACTCACAGTCACACAGGCAAAGTGGTTTCCCAAAAGTAGGCGCATTCTCTACCACATGAAAATCTATCTCAAAACTATTTTTCAATATATGCATTCTTGAAGGGCTACAATTCAAAAGTAAGAAGAAAGACAACCATAGCAAAATCCAACTTACTCATTCAAGAAATATGACTAAATAGGGAAACAAATGTAGAAACAGAAACATTTACTATCCACTGAAGCTTATGGCCCTTTAAAAATAAATTGTTACTTTTTATGAAAACACCTAGAGGCAGCAATACCAACACTCTGAAGTACAAGACAGCCAGGATTAGATTCTATTTTGCCACTTAACTAGCTGATTTTTGTTTTTTATATGTGGTTTTGTTTACTTTGTTTTGGTTTTTCTTGCCTTGTTTGTTTGCAGTGCGGGAGATCAAACCCAGAACCTCAAACCCAGGATCTCATTCAAGCTAGACAAGTGCTCTACCACTACACTACATCCCCAGCCCTTAGCTAGCTGTTTGATAACAATTAATGTTCCTCTTTAAAGTTTGACAAACCTCCTCTACAAAACGGAAAATGTAAAAATGTCTGTATTCTCTAACATGTAAGAAAAATTTAGTTATTAACTGCTATTAGAATTTGATATTAGTTTCTATTTCCCCTAATCATCTTATGCTCCTGAAATATAATCTCTGAAATTAATGAAGATATTTCATTTTATGTATTGAATGACTACTGTAAGACTCATTAGCCTGGAACACTGAATACTTTTTATTTCTTAATATTGATAGCCATGATGATTAAAGACAACACTTCATCTACAACACAGCTTTAAAAGAATTCACCAGGTTGAACTTGTGGGCAAATTTTCATTGACTAAACTTAAAAAAAAAAAAAGAAGTTACTGCTGACTGATAATGGTTTCCAACTGAACACAGAGGCTTCATTCCTGCCTCCTGCCCTCATCAAAACTGAAAATCACACACTGCTTTGTTTCACTCTAGTGAAAAAATTTTCACTTTCTATCCTGTAGCAGAATTATTTCTGAAACTATCATATCATGAGCCTTTCAACTGTCTTGCTTCTTACTACATTTGTATTTCTGTAAATACTTTCGTGGTGATTTTCATTCATTTTGAAGAATCAACGATTATGGCACTGAAGGGAAAGACAAGAGCCACAGATAATTGCACATGTCTATAATCCCCAGCTACTCTGAAGGCTGAGAAAGGAAGATCAGTAAGTTGAGAGCCAGCCTGGGAGACCCTATCTCAAAATAAAAAATAAAAAGGGCTGGGGGTGTGGTTCAGTGATAGAATACCCCTGGTTCAATCCCTAGTACCAAAAAAAAAAGGAGAGAGGGAGAGAGAGAGAAAAGCAAGAAGAAATTAAGTTGCATATGCCCTATTTTACTAGTCTTCAAAAATAAACCTGTGAGCAAAGTAGAGCAACCTCTCCAGAGTGACACAACTAGTCAATGTTAGAGCCTGGATCTGAATCAAGGTAATACTGAACCCAAACTATATTACTACCTATGATTTTAGCTTAAAAAATGTGTGTGTGTGTGTATGTGTGTGTGTGTAACATACAAATTATACATACACACTCATATCTCAAGGCTGGGGTACAATTCAGTGGTACAATGTGTGCTTTGCATGCATGAGGCTTAAGTTTAATCCCTAGCACCAAATTAAAAAATCAAAAATCTTACTGCTTTTGGTTATTAAATAATGGCTTGTTCATGGGGAAAAAATATAGAAAATGCAGAAAAATACAAAGAAAATCAGAATTATTTTAACTTCTACAGATAACCACTGCTTATATATCCCTGGCAACCCTGGTACTAGGGATTAAACCCAGGGGCACTCTACCACTGAGCCACTGAGCTACATCCCCCAACCTTTCTTTTTGAGGCAGGGTTTCACTAGGTTTCCCAGGCTGGCCTGTAACTTGAGATCACCCTGCCCTGAGTGTCTCAGCATCTCCAGTTACTGTGATTACAGGCATGCACTATCACACCCTGCACCACTGCTTTTATCTCTTTTTTTTTTTTTGGGGGGGGGGGGTAGGAGGTAACCAGGGATTGAACTCAGGGGCACTCAACCACTGAGCCACACTCCCAGCCCTGTTTTGCATTTTATTTAGAGACAGGGACTCAGAGAGTTGCTTACCACCTTGCCTTTGCTGAGGCTGGCTTTGAACTCAAGATCTTCCTGTCTCAGCCTCCTGAGCCGGTAGGATTACAGACTTGCACCATTATGCCCGGTCTGCTTTTATCTTAAAAACATTTTCTTTACAAAAGGAAATCTTAAGTTTCAGGGAATATTTTCATTTTTATTTTTTATTTTTGGCAAAGAGCTGGGAATACCCAAGGGCTTTCATATCTTAAGCCCTATCACTTACTTTTAATTACTAGTAATTTATTAATACAATCTCACTGTTCAAAATTCAAGTAGGACTTGCTTCAAAGTGCCTTTTCACCTCCTCTAGTCTCGTCACTATTCATAGTTTAACTAAACAGACTTTTTTCTACGCATGTGCATACTTATAAAAGAATATAAATACAATTCATTATGTTTTTGTTACTTTTCTGTGCATACGTATCATGTGAATATGTGTAAATATGTGTGTATATATAATTTAGGATATGTAACTGTATATATTGTACTTGAATTCAATGTCTTTTGATGATTCTGCTAGACCTGTATAGACAAAAATCCACTTGTTTTGTTTTTCTGAAGTGTTAGTGGATTGAGCCCGGGGCTTGTGCATGCTAGGCAAGCGCTCTACCACTAAGCTACATTCTCACTCCCAGGACTTGGGTTTTTAATTGCTATTGATTATTGACAATTCATTTTTATAGGATCAGGATTTTCTTTTATTACTAGGCTTAAGAAATAAACTTTAAAATGGCTAAGTAACATTCTTTTACATAAATTAACCATAATTATTTTGGGGGATATTTTGATTTACCAAATTTCTGCCTATAGATACAATATTAACATTGATTATCTTTGCCAAATCTTTTTGTACATTTTATACACAGAATCCTGAAAGTGGAACTGCTGGGTAAAACTCAAAATTCTTGATACATATTCCTAAACTGCCATTCAAAAAAATTACACCATTCAATACATCATTTAATACACCCACAAGCAACACAAAAATTCTATTACATTATTTTGGCCTTTTAAGGAGTTATTTACACAAGTAACAATGTTTAAAAAGACAGCATGCTAAAACCCAAACTCAAATTTGGCTAAGATCCAGAAATTGCCTAATGATTTAAATTAGCTTGTTGTGATTTTTCTTAGGTATTAATTAAGGGAATCGTACAACAGAAGAGAAGAAAGAAAACTGATCCTATCTTGATCAGGCACCACTAAGTAACTCCAAAGGCGATAGTGATAAGATAAAGAACTTGGCCAAGATGCCATTACTTTTGGAGTAGACTTTTCTCAGGAATCTTTCCTTCAATGAAATGCGCATGCTCTAATAAGCCTGACAGGAACACAATTCCATTAAATGAGTCATTTCCACCAGCGCACATCACAAAATCTTGAATAATTTGAGTAAGAAGGATACATACTTCTGAATGTAAAAAACTCATGGAAGAAAAGGTAAACTTAAGTGGACTATATAAATACATAGAAATGTAATCATGAAAACACAGAAAATGACATCTCATTTGCTTTAGTTCAATATTTAAATGCAACTACATTTTAAAATGACATTTGACAGAAACTTGGCTAATGATCATACTCAAACACATCAATATATGAACTACATTTATAACCAAAATATTATCAAAAAAACAGCAGAAAATACTGAAAGTTAAAAACATTTTTGTTGTATCATCACAATCACAAAAAAGGAAACAATGGTTTAGAACCAATTCTAAATTTTTAAAATTTATTTTTTATTAGCTCTAATCAGTTATACATGACAGCAGAAAAGCTTTTTGATTCACTGTACACAAATGGAGCACAACTTTTCATTTCTCTGGTCATACATGTACCTAGGGTAATGATATTCTGCTCATTCCACCATCTTTCCTACCCCCATGCCCCCTCTCCTTTTCTCCTTCCCCGCTATTCTAAATTAACTTCACATCTAACAGTATACTTTCATCATCTTTAACAATTTTACTATCACACTATCTGGTCCATTTCCAATTTAATAGCTTCACTTGCTTCTGCAGTCATGTCTAATTTTTGGCAATGGAAGAACACAGCAACTCCACCAAAATCTACTCTCAAAAAAACTGGCCAAGGGGCAACAATGAATGGTCAGCTAATCTGTTGCCTCTTAACTAATTATGATAGTATCTTTGCTGGGCAGTGGTCCATGCTTATAATGTCAGTTTGTTCGGAGGCTGAAGCATCAGGAGCAAACAAACACTATAGGGTAACAAAATACCCCAGGAAAGTATCACAGAAATAAGTTATTAAAGGACACAACAGGTCTTCCAAATTCAAATATATAAGTGGAACTAGGTTCAAGTGTATTTGTATTTGCATACAATTATTATACAAATTTGCATTAAAGCAAGACTATATGACCATAAACATGGTTATTTTGCCAGCAAACATAGAGTTAAATAATAATTAAGCTTTAACAGAACCAAGTTTTTCTAGAAGGCTGCCTCCTTGCTTTAATGTCCAGTTTAAACATAAAAGCTGGGCATGCTTAACTCCTTTATGGCCAAACTGTAAACTCAACCAGGAAACATCAACAAAGAAGCTCCCTGAATTCTGTATGTACCCCAGTAGAATTATTCTCGCTTCAAAATGGAGGAAGCCAACAGGGTGGTGAACACCTGTAGCCTCAACTTCTTTGGAGGCTGAATCAGGAAGACTGTTTCAGGAGTTCAAGGTCAGCCTTAGCAACATAGCAAAACCCCATCTCAAAAACAAAAACAGAGGAAAAATTAACTGAATAAGATTAAGTTTCAGGGAAGGCGAGCAATAAGGAGGCTACCACAATAATTGGAAGAGACAGTACCTATCAGAACTAGGACAGTAGCAATGGAGATGGAGAGAAGTAGACAAATTTGAAAATGGTCGGAAAGGTATAAAAGTATAATTATAGAGGTGGGTATAGTGGTACATGCCTATAATCCCAGCTACTCGGGAAACTGAGGCAGCAAGATCACAAATTCGACACCAGCCTGTGTAACTTAGCCAAGAACATGTTTCAAAATAAAAAATATATATATAAAATATTTAAGTGGGGTAGAGGACCAGCTCAGTGGTATAAGACCCCTGGGCTCAATCCCCAGTACCTACCTCCTAAGAAAAGTGCAATTATGCAAATAAACAAGCCCAGATGTACTTTCGGGGAAGGGATTGTCAGATAAAGATCCATTCTACCTTCTGCCCTATTTATTAATTTGCATTGCTTCTTTTGTTTTGGTTGTTTTTATGGTGCTAGGAACCAAACCCGGAACCCTTGTGCAAGCTTGGCAAGAGCTCTTCCAGTGACTACATCCCCAGTCTAATACATTGCTTCTTAAACAAGAACTTAGCGATGTTTAAGTAGACAAATCATGTCTATATATAAAGACAGTTTGTGTTACCAAATACAGCCATAATGTATGGATAGGTAGATACATAATTCTGTTTTTCCATGCAAGCAGAAAGAATGGTAGATAGGAAGCACAACATGTAAGAAACATGCAGAGCATATTCATTTTAAATGTTCTTACTTCTACAAGCACTCATAAAAAAGCCATAATATTTTCAGAGAATATGCTTTGCAAGAAGAATGCAGGAGGGTAGGGTTGTGGCTCAGTGGAAGAGTGCTCGCCTAGCATGTGTGAGGCACTGTGCTTGATTCTCAGCACCACATACAAATAAATAAAACAAAGGTCCATCAACAACAAATATTTTTTAAAAAAATGCAAAAGGCTAAATCCAGCCAGGTTATAAACCATTAACGAAATTACATGTTGAGGAAAAATAGCAGAACTTTATACTTAAATGGAACAGAAAGCCTGAGGAAGGTTAAGGAGAAACTTCTTGCCCTGTATTCACAGGGCAATCAAAAATTATTTACAGTAGTCCCCCCACCTTTACCCACAGTTTTGCTTTCCATGGTTTTAGTTATCGACAGTGAACTACGGTCCTAAAATATTAAATGGGAAATTCTAAAAATAAATAATTCATAACTTTCGCAATGCACACTTCTCTGAGAAGTATTATGAAATCTCATGATATCCTGTTTTGTCCCACCTGGGACACAAATCATCCTTTGGCCCAGTGTATCTGATACCTACCCATTAGTCACTTAGTAGCCAGCTCAGTTGCAAGATCAACTGCCACGGGGCTGGGGTTATGGCTCAGCAGTAGAGCGCTCGTCTCGTGCCTGCAAGGCCCTGGGTTCAATCCTCAATAAATAAAATAAAGTTATTGTGTCCAAATACAACTACAAAAAATATTTTTAAAAAAGCTTGCACTCATATAAAAAAAATCAACTGTCACAGCATCACAATACTTATGTTAAATAATCCTTGTGTAGTATAACCTCCTTCACCTCACTTCATCTCATCACATTGGCACTGTATCCTCTGACATCAGAAGAGTGAGTATATAGTACAATAAAACATTTTAAGAGGGAAAGTCAGAGATCAGGTACACATAACTTTTATTATAGCACACTGTTAAAAATGTTCTTGATTATTAGTTGCTGCTGTTAATCTCTTGCTGTGTCAATTTATAAATTAAACTTTATCATTAAGTATGCACAGAAAAGTACAAAGGGGTCAGTATCATTGGAAGTTTCAAGCATACACTGTGGGCTTGAAATGTATCCCCCATACATAAGGAGGAAGCACTATACTGTCACCAGCAAACAAATTCACCTAGGACAAGTAAAAAATCTTATAAATTTGAAGAACCTAACTCTGATAAGAAAGTTTTGTAGCAGCAAGAATCACATCTATTTTGCTCATTTTTCTATTCCCAATGCATACACAGTTTGAAAATCAATAAATGTTCAACAAATATCTGTTCAATAAATGCTGTCACTGAAATCTTGAGACAAAAGCATGTCATTGATCTGCTAATAAAGAAGAACTTCTGTTCACAATATAGTTGTATAAGCAAATGCCAGGTGTCACAGCAAATCTGGATAGTTAATTTAATTAAAATAGTATATAATTACATCATTTTAACTGTCCAAGTTTAATTCTACTAAAATTACATTCTAAATGAAAAGATGCATTCCTTATTTATAATTAAAAGTAAATAAGCATGTGATTAGGGCTTCATATGCCTGACATTCAGTTTTAACTTGTGAATCAAGCATGAACCCTATCTACCTTAAAACTCATCACTTGTTAAGTGAAAGGGGAAGAAAAACTACTCATATAATCCATACGCACACAGATCTGTGATCATTTGGTTCCCTGTTTTCAAAAATACAAAAGGGATCCCCCAAAGTTATAGCAATCATACATTTTCAATTTCCTACAATAATCACAATTTTAAATGCATTGTATATAACATGTCATACGGAAATTTGGAACACATGGTTACTGCATCCAGGAAGCTCCCTACTTCTTTTTTAATATTTATTTTTTAGTTGTAGTTGGATCCAATACTTTCATTTTATTTATTTTTATGTGATGCTGAGGATCGAACCCAGGGCCTCGCACATATTAGGTGAGTGCTCAACCGCTGAGCCACTACCCCAGCCAGCCCTACTTCTCTTTCTCCTTCCAATTCTCCACTTCCCAAAGAAAGTAAGTAAAATTACAAATGGTCAATAAATCATAATTATTTTACTTTAAAACCTTTTGCTTTCCCCTCTATTCAATCAAAATTAAATGGAATGGGGAAATAAGGAAGATTAAGGAGAAACTTCTTCAGATTGACAAAATTAGGTTGTTATTAACAAAAAAACTTCTAGTTTTTTGTTTTGTTTTGTTGTGTTGCAGTTCTGACAATCAAAACCAAGGTCTCCCACACATTAGGCAAGCGCTGTACCACTGAGTTACATCCCCAGCCCAAATCATTGCCTTTAAATGTCATGCAAAGATGATTCACTCTTCCAGATGGATGCAGTCACTATTCTTGTTTTGTGTTTTTGAAGCAAACTAATTCCCAAACACCAAGTCTACAGAGCTGGTCATAATGGTATACAAAACAGCTAATTACTTACAAATGAGAAAATTAAGTATCAGTGCAATTAAATATACACATCTGATCTAAATATTTGACTATTGAACACTACAGTGATTTATGCTAAGTGAGCTCTGATTTTAAATATGATGTATTATTTGTGAACCAAGAAGTTATTTTCTATTTACTCAAATTTGAAAGACCATTAAAAGGTTATAGATCCCAACTGAGTTCTCTTGACAGCAAGTAGATTAATACCAATATGTAAGTCAGCTAGCTGAGGGATATATATGGTGCAACTCAGAGGCATACAAAATGAATGTAATTCTCCCTAACCAGTCAACAATCCCCATGGTTAGCTAAGATCCCCTTAAATAAGAACAAAGCTGGAGCTCAATTCACAATAGCTAAACAGTGAAACCAACCTAGATGCCCTTCAACAGATTAATGGATAAAGAAACTGTGGTATACATTATGGTATTTGCAGGTAAATGGATGGAGTTGGAGAATATTGAAGTAAGCCAATCCCAAAAAACCAAAGGATGAATGTTCTTTCTGATAAGTGAATGCTGATCCATAATGGGGGTGAGGAGAATGGGAAGAATAGAGGAACTTTTGTTGGGCAAAGGGGAGGGAGGAAAGGAAGGAGAGGGGGCATGGGAGTAGGAAAGATGGTGGAATGAGATGAACATCATTACCCTAGGTACATGTATGACTACACATGTATAAGTGTACAACCAGAGAAATGAAAAGTTGTGCTCCATCTGTGTACAATGAATCAAAATGCATTCTGCTATCATGTATAACTAATTGGAAAAAATAAAAATAAAAAAGCCAAAACATGGTAAAAACTCCTCTAGCATTTGAAAACCATAAAAAAAAAAAGAACAAAAGCTGGAGA